ATATCGTATCGTGACCCCTCTGTTATGATATGTATCGTATCGCCAAATTCTTGCCAATACACAGCCCTACTAGTCACATGACCAATTTATAGGGAGAAAATTGGCTCTTCGTAAAAATCTGTTCCAAATTGTGTCAAAATTACAGACTTCAGGCTGTACATCAAATTTGAATTGTGTTGATAGATAAATAAATTACAGAACCTTTTTTTTAATGTTCATCGTGTTTGAAGGGGAGAGGAGCACCAAGCGGTCAGTCTGCCAGGTGGCATTAATCGTATTAATCGTCAAGTGCCAAAAATTAATCGATTAATGTTTTTCTGACGATTAATTGCACACGATACCATTATGCCCAACCGTAGTTTAAATGGATGTAAAAAAATTGTTTGGTTTTAGTTCTGTAAAAGCAGAGTTWTTCTACGTGTAAGCATTTTTTATTTAGGGGAATGTCAGATATTTAACTAATTTTGGTTTCGTTGCACAGACATGATCAGCCAGGCCCAGGAGCTCTCCAACCAGCCTCACGTCGTCGTAGCAACTCCAGGCCGTCTGGCCGATCACATCCGCAGCTCCAACACCTTCAGCATGGCCATGATCAAATTCTTGGTGAGATTTGATTTAGATTTTTAGATTTGGAATACAAAAGCTGATTTATTAAAGCAGCAATCGCTCCAATGCTTTTGTTTTACTGTTTCCTGTTGTGTCAGATTTTAGACGAAGCGGACAGGCTGTTGGAGCAGGGCTGCACCGACTTCACCAAAGACCTGGAGGTGATCATGAGCGTCTTACCGGCCAAACGGCAGACGCTGCTGTTCAGCGCCACGCTAACGGACACCCTGCAGGAACTGAAGAGCATCGCCCTGAACAAGCCTTTCTTCTGGGAGAGCACGTCAGAGTGAGTCACCTGCTGCTGTTTTAAACTGGAGTAAAGATGATAAAACACATTTTTAACCGGCTGTGTTACATGTGTGCTTTCACCTCATGTGTATTCTGGCAGAACGCGGACCGTGGAGGATCTGGACCAGAGATACATCCTGACACCGGAGAAGGTGAAGGATGCCTACCTGGTGCACCTGATCCAGACGTTTGTCGATGAACATGACGACTGGTCCGTCATCATCTTTACCAACACGTGCAAGTAAGACACCTGCGACGGATTCACATACTAAACACATTTTAGGAGCTTGAGTAATTCAGAAAAAAAAACGATCTTTGAATTGAAATTTTACGACTTCTTTAGGAGTTTGAAATGTTCATTTTCAGGTTTTACATCAGGTGTCAAACTCGTTTTCACCGAGGGCCACATGAGCTTTGTGCTGACGAAACATCAAGCTCCTCGACTCTTTGCTAAGACTGAACATCACTTACAAACAATAACTGAGCTCTACTTGGTATTTCCTGCATGGAAATGGTGTTTTTATTTATTTAAATTTTTTTATTCATTTCATTAAAACATACAACAAATAATATATACTCAACAAAAAAAATACAAATCACAATATATTGCGATACATTAAAAAAATTTTCACCAAGAATTTTATTTAAAATAAAACTAACAAAAAAGTATCTTTTATATATGTTTACTCACAATGCTAATGTTTGAGCTAGCGTTAAACTCTATCTCTTTGGGAGTGGAGGAGCCAAACGGCTGACTGAGTGCTGCCAACTAGTGGTCAAAGGCTAAATTACAACATACGAATGAACCGCTGGCATTACAATTTAAATCCATTAAAAACTGATACAGTGCTTTAGAGAACTGATACAGTATTGAGAAATGAAATATCACAATATTCCATTGCACTGATAATTTCTTACATCCATAGCTGCCAAAGCTAATAAACATAACAGACACAAACATTGCTATAACTTTGTCTATTTTACAGATGATGAGCTAAACATGGTATTAGTGGTAGCAGCTGGAAGTTATCACAAACACATCTTGCAACATCTTTTACAACTTTGACATTTCTTTTTGAAGTCAAACTAAGTCAAGATGAACTGGCTGAATTCAGAAAAGTCACTTTCTAACAGATCAACATTTAGTACTAACAGACAACAAAATGTCCATTTAAAACTAGCATCATAATTTAATTATTGTGTTTATTTACTTTCATTTTAGCTCAGTAGCTGTGTTTCCATTGCAAATGTGCGCAAAACTTTGTCGATATTCTGTTAATTTCGAAAAACAGTTTTGCAACTGCAGTG